CGCGGTTATAGTGTGACGCTAACATTTAGCGCGTCTTTACGCTATGTTTGTCTTTTGCAAATGACGACACGTCAAAATATATGCACGGCCGCCCAATACTATATTTACGAAATCGCAAACTCGACACGGATATGTGATAAATATAGTTATTAAATGAGGGTAAGTTCCTCTTTAAATCGCATTTAACAGGTTTGTTTTAGCGTTTTGGTATGATACCTAACGTTTCATTATTAGTTTCATATTTATTGTTAGTGTTGATGAAGCAAAACACAAATTAAAGATGCAAAAACTATAAACTATTATATTAAGTATTTACAATGATTCTAATTTCAAAAAATAATACGAAATTATATTTTATATATACATGATTATCTTTCGGAAAGGAATTGGTTATTGAACTTTTTTAGTTTACATATATAGCGTTTACATACTTGGCTTTGTTTCTAATCGTTTACTGAAATGCAAATATTTTTCTTCCCTTAAATGCTATTAAAGTGACTTTGTACATAAACTTGTGTAGATTCTGGTAGGCATCAAAAGGCAATTATTTGAATTGTTCTATTCTTCCTGATAAAAATTTTAAAAAAATGTTGAGGGACACCTCGTATTACATGCGTATGATGGTTACCGAAACATTTCCATAATAGCACAACTTGCCAATGATATTACTAATAATGATCTTTTAAATCGTTCAGTATCAACCCGTCTTTTAATAGTAAGAAATCTCAGCCAGTCATATAAGTGGTTTATAGTCAATGTTAGTTACGACCTTGAAGTATTTAACAAAAATACTAAGAAATATTGTAGTAGTTTTAAACTTTAAATCTTCAGTTTGAAATACAATCGCCTATTATGGTAAAACTATGCTCTCACATTTCTTGCTTTAAACCTGTAATATGAAACTAATGACTGAAGGTCATGAAAACAATATATCCAATCAATCATTAGTACGTACTTGCAACTATCATAATTATAATGTAAAATTATTACAACCATTGTTCTATTATAAACATACAATTACAAATGCTGATAATCATGGTGGTATCTATATATTATCAGACCATGGCATAGAAATGATGGATGTGCCTTTACCAAGCAAATAATGTCAGTTATAAATATGAGCTTCAAGATTCTTTTTGGTCTGGAAGAGTTCTTAAGCTTTTTAGTATTGTTTAATGGATTGACTTGCTTACCCATTCTTTTTTGTTTTGTTTTTAATAACAAATGGATCTAGATCGTAAATTGTAATGAATGAAGGAAAAGATTATAGTTCGGATTATGAAGAAATGGTGAATTATGACATTGGGAGTGACGAATATGTTAAAAGGGAAGGTAAGTTGGTATTTTGAAAAACAATGACCTCATACTTCAATGTATTAAAGAATCGATTCCAGTGTCGATGACCCTTATGTGCGATTTTGTTGTTGCGTAGCCTTTTTAAAGGCATTGAGTACCTGGTTATGGTCTAATAATCATGTAAATAAATGTTCCTTTAGTTAGAAAACCTTGTTGTGATAATTTCACTTGTTTCACATCATTTTATTTACACTTTTTAGTATAATTAACGAATAAGGTTGGGATAAGAGAAAAGTTTGGTGCACAATTAACCAACTTAATATCCCTAGTTGCCATTTGCTTCCGACAATTCCATAGCAGTATTCTTTTTCCCTCTTATGTGTTGTCCTAATTCATGTGTTTTGTATTACCGTTCCTAGTTATTTCACCTTATCACTAAACATTACAATACCTTCAATTTTTGCTTCTTTATCCCTCCTTTTCCCCTTCCTATTTTTCCACTTCCTCATGCAAATTTCTGGACTTATAATTTCACGTAAGACCTGTACATGTCCGTGCGGTGTCCGTTTGTATGCGATTGATTTTAGATATTTAAGGACTGAGTTCCGTGAACCGTGCTCTCCCATGTTAGTCTTTATTGTCATATCAGTAAAGAAAACACTTTTCAAACTAGATGCAGAGTTGTTTCACTTGATTGTAATTTGATTTGCATAATATGCAAGTGCATGGGCCATGTAAGTGTTTCCTTCTACCGCTTATTCGCACATACTATACTGTAAATGGTTATAATGTTAAAAATGATTTTTTAATATAATATAAAAGAGGGGCGTCCGTGGCCGAGTGGTTAAGGTCGTTGACTTCAAACCATTTGCCCTCACCGCTGTGGGTTCGAATCCCGACAGGTTCTTTGGATTCTTTCATATGAAGGAGCTATCCAGCTAGCTTACGGAACGTCGGTGGTTCTACTCAGGTGCCCGTTCGTGCCTGAAAAAATGCACGTAAGGGCACATGAGCTCTTCCTCCACCGTAAGCTGGAACGTCGCAAAATGACCTATACTGTGTCGATGTGACGTAAAACCCAATCAAACAAACAAATATAAAATAACTTATTTTACATTAAGGTTTATCCAAATATCGTATACATTATTAGTTATAAAGATGTTTGACAAAACGACCATATATTAACGGTTGTGTGGTCGCAAGACGATGGTTATTTTGCAAAAAGGAACGTTTATATCAGCCATTACCTATCAGGAATATTAACAACGAATTTATAACTAGAAATGTGTCATCATGCGACGGATGCCCCCGCATGCAGCCAAAATTTCAGGTGTTATAATATTTAGTTCCAAATTTGTTTGCACACATTATTTTTTTCATTTTAAGTTCAAAGCCCTTAAAATTCCCCAATGTTACACAAACCATTTTATACAATGTTCAAGGCACTGAAACTATTCAGTCTTAACCATTTGTAAATTGCATATTGCATATTTGTAGCCAAAATAATGGCTACATACATTTCCACAAAAGTATGAGTGCTGAAACTGAAAATTCAAAATTTTTCCAACATTCAGGAAAGATAAGTTTGTCCAAAATCATTAAACCACGGCTAAATTCAAACTTAAACTGCTTATTCCTAAGATGTATCTTTATGTTAATTTTGAGTTGAATGTGTACAACAATTGGGGAGATAATGAACCGAAACTTAACATTTCTGATTTTTTTTCAAATTTCAAGAGGGATAACTCTGTCAGCTATCATCAAACCATGACCAAATTCGAAATTGACCAATGCATTCTTATGACATATCCATATCTTTAATTTGAGTTGAATATGTGTAACTATTGGGGAGATAATGAATGGGAACTGAAAATATCCTTTTTTCAAAGTTAAAGGGGCATAACTCTGCCAAAAATCATCAAACCATGACAAAATTCAAACTTGACCTGTGCATTTCTTTGACGTATCCATATTTCAATTTTGAGTTGCATGTGTAATACCCTAGAGGAGATAATGAACGGAAACTGAAAATTTCATATTATTTTCAAATTGAAAGGGACATAACTCTGCCAAAAAATCATCAAACCATGACCAAATTCCAACTTGACCTACGCATTCCTTTGACATATCCATATGTCAAATTTGAGTTGAATATGTAACACTGTTGGGGAGATAATGAACAGAAACTGTAAATTTCATATTATTTTCTAAGTGAAAGGGCATTACTCTGCCAAAAATTATTGAACCATGATCAAATTCGAACTTGGCCTGCGCAATCCATTGACATATCCATATGTCAAATTTGAGTTGAATGTGTAATACTGTTGGGGAGATAATAAACAGAAACTAAAAATTTCATATTATTTTCAAAGTGAAAGGGGCATAACTCTGCCAAAAATCATTGAACCATGTCCAAATTCTAACTTGACCTGCACATTCCTTTGACGTATTCATATATTAAGTTTGAGTTGAATTTGTTGTACCGTTGGGGATATAATGAACGGAAACTGAAAATTTCATATTATTTTTAAAGTAAAAGTGGCATAACTCTGCCAAAAATCATTGAACCGTGACCAAATTCAAACTTGACCTGTATTTTCTGATAACATATCCATAAGTCAAGTTTGAGTTGAATGTGTTGTACCGTTGGGGAGATAATGAACGGAAACTGAACAATTCATATTCTTTTCAAAGTAAAAGAGGCATAACTCTGCCAAAAATCATCGAACCATAACCAAATTCGAACTTGACCTGTATTTTCTCATGACATATCCATATGTCAAATTTGAGTTGAATATGTGCAACCGTTACTAAGATAATGAACGGAAACTGATGATGACGGAATGACAGAATGACGGAATGACGGAACAGGGTAATACTATATGCCCCGGCCATTATATGTCGGGTGCATAATAAAGCAAACTTCCTTTTTTAGGGGAAACACTGAGATTTTTATAAATTGACATCATCTGTGTATATAAAACTATATAAACGTCACGATTATCCAATGAAAAGTGACGTTACAAACATGCAGTATTATAAAGTTCAAATATTGTAAGTAAAAATTTATGTGACAACTATTTCTTATTATCATTGTAATGTTAGAAATTCGTTATGCATGTATTTTACATGTTCAATTTCCCCCTATATATCATTTGTTAAGCTATGAATAATCAAAGAAATGATGAGGATTTTTGTAGAGTAAAACTTGTTGACACCTTTCATCTTCTTTCACAGGAAAAATCCGGGTTTTTTTCAAACACATGCAACAAATCATCAAAAAGAGAACTTCAAAAAGACAGGTTTATGTATTTTCTATAATGTTCCAGCTATATATTATAGCTTTTGACTCGGTGTTATTTCCGTAATTTAACTTCTAACAACATTTAATTAGTTTGCTACGAAACCTCATATCATATCCGACAATTTATCCACAATTCCAAATCATTATACATTAAGAGTTCAAGTTTTTAATATTATTTGAAATTTGTATTTGAAAACTTGCATTATGATAAAATTGCTGTCGTTCGAAAATCATAATGTGAGCAACGTTTTACCATTTTTGTATTTACTACATACATAATAAGTTTGGTTTTCAAAGATAGAATTATGCATTGAATGCGTTTAAAGAAGATCGGCATGAAGAAGATGTTGAAGACGTTCAAGAAGACTATGATTATAACACATCTTTTCAAGAAGAGTTTTGTACTGATGGTATGTTTTTTTTCAAAGAAAAGTAATTTCTTGAACATTATAGTGATATAAATGATTTTTTAAAAGCCTTGACCATTACTGTCACATAAACTTAAACTTATTGTAAAACGTTAGGTGCAACATAGACTAACAGGAATGGATATTGTTCAAATCTTTAAAAATATGATTTTTTCCACTCACTTAATTTTGAAAAAAAAAATAACAATATTCAGAAGGGAACTACTTCGAAGAAACAGAAGCTGGCTATTCTCACTACCCAGTGCTTACGTCTGTCATTTCGGGTTTATGGACTTTTTCTTTGATCAATTCGTGGCATGATACAACTTACAGCAACGATTTGTTTTTGCACGACTTAAAGAACATAAAGTAGTGGATGTTTGTCGTCATCCCGTTCGTAAAAACCCCATTAGATTTTGTCATTTGTCAAACAATTTACAAAGCTAAGTTAGTGACACTAGTACTTGGTATGTTGATAGAGTACCATATAGAGATTATGAACTGAAAACGAAACAAATCTCAGTTCTGTCATAACTCAATAACTACAAAATCTAGGTTGGTTGTAGAGCACTTTTTGGCAATTGTGCAAGTTATTTTAATTTATTCATCAGAGAAAAATTATGTTCTGGTTGCAATGGTTACGGCAACGGCAATTTGAACATATGTATAATCTTGTGAGAGCTCGAAAAGGGCAAACAAACAAATTAATGGAGACTTTAGGTATTTGTACAACGAGGCATGACAACCAAATTAGCTATGCCCTCGCCTTTACCCCCACCTTGTTTTTCAGTAGCTACTTGTAATATGAACAACATAAAATTATTTCAATATGGATAACTGTTAATTATGTGTGTATTGTGTTTACTTACATGTTGTTTTTTTCGGAAATAAGAGTATTTTATGCGACACGAATGTTGTTTTTTTTTCAGCCGTTTCTGGAGCGAAGATAGTAACAGCAATATTTGATTTTCATAAGTTTTCTGACGATGAGATAAGCTTCAAAAAGCTAGACAAACTTAAAATCCGTGATGATATCACAAGGTAAAAGACAAATGTAATAATATGAATTCATAAGTAAATACTGAACGAGAACACAGCTGTCAGACCTGTATTACAAAGGGCGATAGCCAAATCTTGTTTAGGTTTATCCGCTGTTTTTCAAAAACGTATAATTACTCTTGTTTCCTTTGCCATTTCTTTACGATTTGGAACATTTAAATAAATTAAATATCTTCAATTTTGACTTTAACGGAATAATAAAGAAGCATTTATCTAAATCATCACTTGTATCAACATTTTCATAGAGACATTGCAATCTAATTAAACCTACTATTTATGTATTATTTCATTTCAGTGATAACTGTGATTGGTGTTTTGCTGAACATTTGTCTACGGGAGATAAAGGCTATGTTCCTATTGCCTATATCTCTCATGCCAGCCAAAAACTAATATCACAAGAGTATGAGAAACTTTTTATTTTATATCCAGTTGTCTGCACAATTTAACTATTTAAAACATAAGCCCTCGAGTTCAAACATCTTGCTCAAATTTACAGCGCACTTAACTTTTCTAGTTTAGCCAAATAATCATTATAAATATCATATATATAATTTATTACAGTAATTTTAACTAATTTAAGCCTGGCAATATTTCAGCTGGTGGTATGATATTAGCCCATATGCTTCGGTGATGTTGATGAGCAATCCGGACACTCCTGTGGGAACATTTCTTATACGTCCATCTGACAGTACGTAAATTTAAATATTACATGTTATACTAGTTTATGTTGCTAAAATATGAGATTAAATCACATTTTTTCTTCATTCAAATGGATATAAGCTTTAAACCCATATTCAGGTTTGCTACATGAAGGATTATAATTTTATGCTGTTAAGCACATTCTGAACTTGACTATACACCCAAGTGTGTTGGCAAAATGACAAAGGGTTGGGAACATAACGATGAAAGAAATAGTGTTTATTTTCATCCCGGACAAACAATTTCTTATGGATCTATATTTAAAGAAAAACGAAAAACATTGTAAACTGTATGTCTCCAACGTTAAATAAGGGTCCTGAGGGTACTTGCTGTCGACATGTGATTTCAAGTGTAAACAGAAATAGGCCAACTTTATACTATCTTGTTAATGTAACAGAGCTTACCATTATGATCCAGAGCCGATGGCAGAATTTCAAAGCTATCAGGTCAACCAAGAATAGGGCGGCCACTGTTAAGACAATCAAATGTGGTTCACTTCGACCACTTTTCACTTCCGTCGCGTGATTATACTCTAAAATAACGATTAATTAGAACACCAAAATGATTTTGTTATTCAATGAATGAGAAAGTGGTTTAAAAATTTCTCCCTCAACCCCCAAATTGCTAGATCCAACTGCCAATTTTGACAACTACTTAACCAGCCTAAAAGTACTTTTCTGTTGAGAATAATAAGAGGAATACTTGTGTGTAGATTTGGTGATGAGACCAAGATTTTTTTTTAATCCAAGACATTTGGAAAACACGATATTTAAAAATTGTCTCGCACAAAATGAAAGGGAAAAACATTTTAAAAAGGAAACAAAGGTTAACATGGCAGGGCGATTTTCAAAGAACGGAGCCTCTGATACAACCCAGTCACACTAGCAGAGTGCTCTAGCAGTTAACAAACCAAAAACGGGAGAGGGTACAAGGGCAGGGAAATGAGGGTATTGACATGCCAATAACTCTTACTATTAACAATGTAATTGAAGATATGATACTAATATTAAAGGCTGATACAAGAAGTATAGGGACATGGGTGGGTGTAAGAAAACGGGGCAAGCACAAAATGGGATAATATGATAGGACATTCATTACAAAAACTCTCAGTATACAAAACGTGAAAAAACATTATGGTTTCATTTATTCTGCGCATAGGCTATATATCCAAATGACTTAACACACCGTTTCCGTTAATTTGAAGGAGGACGGATGTTTGTCTTAACAATGCTGGTACCAAGTTCTTCTTCAAATCAAGGAGTTATAAAACACTATCGTATCCTGTCACAAAATAATCGACTTTTCATCAGATCTACACAAAATTTCAGCGACATCTTTTCGCTTGTTGAGCACTATAAACGTAAGCTGCTACGACATACCTTTGTTGCTTATTGTTTATATTATTGGGTTTGCATTTGTGTAATTGAAACAATTGAAACCAATAACGTAAATAAAGCATTTAGCTGTATATGTTATAAATATATTCTCGACATCTGATGAATATTGAGCATGCAGTTACTATTGTCGCAGCAGAAAAACATATTTTGATTCTTTTTCTCTTACTGTATCAGTATCACATATTAAAGTAAAATCACCTTTCTGATAACGTTTGTTGACATTTTAAAACTTTTTGTAGTGAAGTACTGATCTTTATTTTATGACAGGCTTTGCTGGTGGTTTGTTGTGCAAACTTATGTATACACTTCCAAAACAAAATCCTGTTGTTTATCCAAGGAGAATAGAAATTGATAGAAATGCGATTGACTTTGTAAATTCATTTCCTGTCGGCAGCTTTGGAGAGCTTTTCAGTGGTATAATTACCTTTTTATGTTAAGTTTAGTGTAAAGAAAATAAGTATTAAAGGAGATTGATTTTAAGGTCATTCCATAAAAGAAATAAGAAAATATTATATTCAGCAGTAGATTACACAATTAAAAAATTCAAATTTCCATTGCCTATTTCAATTCAATCTTGTCATAAACAGTTCAACATCCTTACAGGCAAATTGTTCAGAACATTAGATGTTTATAACCATCGTGACAAAATGCAAAAGTGAACTGGGTCATTTTTTGGATGAAGCCAAGATGTTGTTTAAGTTTCGACAATGTGAACACTTTGTAAAAATGATAGCTGTCGTTCTTGAACCTGAGCCATTCATGATTGTACTAGGAGAAACGGTCAAAGACACGCTACAGAGTAACCTGAGAAAAAATTCTGGAAAAACATTATCTCTAAGAAAATTGACCAGTATGGCTTCAGAGGTATATATATAACAAATAAAGTAATTTATTGAAAAATAACAAAAATAAAGCTAAATCAATAAGAAAAGCTATAAAAATGATTTTGAAATTGTTTCAGACTTCATTCAAAATACAATTTAATGTTAATTCAAATAGTTTGTGATTTTATATAAGATTTATATATCAAAAGTAAAATAACAACCAGTCGAAACATTTATAATTATGTTGCTTGTCATGATTATACACGTTGCATCAACTTTTTATGAAAACATGATTGATCTTAATGTGATTATTCAATCATTCAAACGATTGAGACATGAAAACTTTCTTCCCAAAATGACGTTTTGTGTTCTATTTAAGTGTTTAAGTGTTGAACCATTGAAACACAGGCGGAGATAAGGATATATAAAATGTTTCACTTTTTCTCTCATGAACAGGAAGTCAATGATTTTCACCTACAGTGTATGTGTTTGTTTGTTTGTTTGTTTGTTTGTTTGTTTGTTTGTTTGCTATCATATCTTTTAACAATTCTGTGAAATGTTTTCAAAGATAACAAGCTTTATGAGTTGAATAACATCAATATTTTTATCCAGGACATATTTCTTAAAGTCGTGTAATGGTTTTGCAAGTACTGACCATGATTTCTTGAAAAATAAAATGTTTATTTCATATTTTATAGATTGCTTATGGCATGGCATATCTGGAAGAAAATGGTATTGTCCATGGAAATTTGAAAGCCGAAAATGTATTAGTTTGTGAGCATGATAAACTAAAGATATTGCACCCAAAACTCATAAAACTTATGAAAAGCAGTGAAAACAACCAACATGGACAAGGTAAGAATTTAAAGTCACATGGATGACGTGTTTTTTACGAGGGATGGAGTCATTTAATAAGTCTTTAGAGCTCTGCAGACAGAATAATGAGACACTTAACTATATAAATAATTTGATTTAACACGTCTGCATATACGTGTACATATGTAAAGTAAAGTAAAAGCACGAATAAGGGGCTGTTAGTCATATTCAGATTTCCTGGAATGTTCAATTGGTCTTAAACCAGGGGAGGTAATGTCCCCGATAATGTTTTCTATGTTTTTAGAAGATTAAGAAATGTATTTATTAAATGATATTAATCCTGGTTTAACATTAGATGATATTACTTTTATTCTCATGTTATTTGCTGATGATATTGTTTTGTTAAGTAAATCCCCTGAAGACTTACAAAATAGTTTAAATACATTGCATAATTACTGTACTTTATGGGGCCTAAAAGTAAATGAAGGTAAAAGTAAGGTTATGGTTTTTAGGAAGAGGGGTCCGATTAGAAATAATGAGCATTGGACATATAATAATATTCCCTTAGAATAGTCGACAATTTTAATTATTTAGGTACTGTTTTTAACTTAACTATACAGGTAGTTTTTCTTTAAATCAAGAGTATTTAGTAGGGAAAGCCCTAAAGGCGTTAAATGTTTTATTGTTCAATTTAAAACAAACACCGGTTAAATTTAGTACTTCTTTGCAATTATTTGATGCTTTTGTTGTATCTATTTCAAATTATTCCTGTGAAATATGGGGATTTAGTAAAAGTAAGGAAATCGAACGAGTACATCTAAAATTTTGCAAGTCCATGTTATGTGTTTAGCAGTCAACTAGCAGCATGGCTATTTATGGTGAGCTGAAAAGGTACCCTTTTATATGTAAACAGATATGTACGGATTATCAAATTTTGGTCAAATATTGTTAACAGTAATAATGTTATAGTTAGTTACTTATATACATCAATGTTAAATGATATTAATAGAGGAAAAAAACTGGTTGTCTTATGTGAAATCATTGTTAGATAATGCAGGTTTGTCATATAAATGGCATAATCCAAGTATTTATAACCTTAAAAATGTACATTTATTATTTAAGATCAATTCATCCAGTCATGGTATCATAATGTGACAACTAGCCCGAGCCTAGGCACATATAGACTTTTTAAGACGTCATTTGATTACTCACTGTATCTTGATAAAATTCCTAAGAAACTTAGGATTGCTTTTGCAAAATTAAGATTGTCTTCACACCAACTTAGAATAGAAACTGGACGGTATGGTAATTGTAGAACTGAACGTAGTGAGAGATATTGTCTTATTTGCAATTCACGTGATATAGAAGACGAATTTCATTTTGTTTGTATTTGTAATGCTTATAATGATATACGTAAACAGTACTTGACTATAAATATCATTATAATAGACCTAGTGTCCATAAATTCGTTGAACTAATGCAGAATACCAATAGCAACATGCAACTTAAATTATGTAGATATATATAAGAAGCGTTTGAAATACGTAAGGGTAATGTTAATAGGATATCTGAATAAGCTTATTACTGTTTTCAAATAAATATACAAATTGTCCATGTTATAATTCAATAATTTCATGAAACATTTGACTGATTTTGAGTGTTATTTAGCAGTAAGTCATTAAATATACAAAATATCTATTAGTTCAACCTCCTTCTTTTCTCGTTTCCATTTTCTTTCTTGTTTTGACTATATGTATCATATTTTCCGCTAAAAGTATAATTGTCTATAAAATTGTGTCATGTTGACAAGTTATATTGTATCATTGAATATATGTATTGTGTAGCAAGAAACGTCATGTTTACGTTACCAAATAAAATATTTTGAATCTTGAATCTTGTAAAACAAAAATGATTTTTTTCTAGTATAAAACTCTATTTTGTAAATACAGACCCATATTTGTTTCAATTAAATGTTTCCGTTATGATATTTTAAGGCAATTCTAAGCTTGAACACTTAGATGAATCCTAATCTAATAAAATAAAAAACAGTTATAATTCTGTCTAAATATTTAAACAAAGACTGAAATGAACTTCTTTGAATGAATACAATTATAATGAGATTTCTAAAACTAATTTTGCTAAAAGTGTTCGGTGACTCGTAATTATCACATCCTACTGAAAGACCGAAATGTTCTCCCGATAGAAGTGATACCAACCGAGCTGTATATTCCATACTCGCAAATCTTATAAAATAAATTTTCATGAACAAAATTGTTTCAATAGATCAAGACATCTGTTATTTCCAGTGGGGTTATAATTAACTTATAATATTTTCTTGTACAGAGCTTGTACATGATGTTAGAAATTAATCTTAGTGTTAATTTGACCAAAATAGAGAGACATATTAACTTCTCATTTCTGATGCAGTCAAGTGCAATGATTTTTAAGTTTGTATTGAAAGTAGTGGCATAACATAGACTCTTTCATCTAATACCGTTTTCAAGTTGCCGCCCTCGGATGACGTCATTGGGGGATACGGTGGAAATTGCCGATACGATTGAGTACGTTAATCGGGGGATATTAATATCTTAATCCTTTCTCTTGTAAGATTGGCAGTTTGAAATTGCCAAAATTGTACGTAATTGAATAAAATATTACATAAAAAGGAAGGTCAAATGCAAAAACATGTTTACTTTAATAAGGTTAACGATTTGTTTTAATACTCGACCATATGGCTGGGTAACTGATCATGGTGACCATTTTATTTTGATTCTAAATAATGAAAATTGTTACATCGAGTGCTACCAAGCAGTTAAATCATATTGATTCCTTGATACCAGAGATGTAGATAGTGTATCTAAGTCTATGATAATAAACAATACCCTAGAGATATTTTGACTTTCAAAAATGTAAGTATTCTATGGTTTCGAAAAACAACTGCTTAATAATTAATTGCAAAATACTGGTTGTTTAAAAAATATTTTAATTTAAGCATTACTGAGACAAAGATAAGCAACAATATGTTAGACAAAAACAAAATGTTTAGACATAAAGTAAAAATTCTTTTGAATGTATATGACTGCATACTTTTTGTGTCGACAAAAAAGGCACTCTTAAAAAATCGTACATCATACCAATATATAAAAGCTGGTAAAGTGATATTTAAAACTTGATACTTTTTATTTTAATTCATACTCTGCTTATCATATATTTAAAATAAATCACTAAAAAAAGTTGTGAAACACGTACACAGAATTTCGTTATTAACTAATAATTATAATTTTACGTATTTTGACTGTGTCAGTTGGTAGTCATTCTGGAATATCAAATCAGTAAGGCATGACCAATTAAGTCCCTAGGATGATCCATAATCTAATTCGGACCATTAATTAGTGTTGGGTATCGGGCTCAAAAATCACTATCGATAATCGGACCACAACAATCGATTGTCTGTCGATATTATAATCGAGTTTTGCATATTTTATGGCCCATTTTTCTGCTAAGCTACCAATCCTATTATGTATTTTTTATACAGTAGTGACCACATTTTGGGAATACATAAACTCTTGTCATCAAGATTAAAGTAAGATTTACTCTTTGAATTCAAAACAAACAACACAAACTTTGTAACAGGCAATTTTTGTATTACACAACTTTATGGCAGTCAATATGAGTACAAATGTACTAGTCAACAGATCAAAATATTGTAGGTCACTAATTTAACTACAGTAGGTATGTAAGTTTATAATATAATGTTTTTACACACTATAAATTTCTATAGTAGTATTAACAATATAGTATAGGTAATTCAGCGGTGGTAGAACATTCAAATAATCGATTTTTAAAAAGGACTAACGATTGTTGCCGATTTTGGGGTGGTCCGATTAGTTGTCGATTTTCAGAGACACTCGGGACAACACTACCATCAATATTTTGACAACCAACAAAAGTGACGTAATCTGATGTAATGTTATAACTACTGGTGATTTATAATATCACAACCAAGTGCCGCTTGTATATACACATCTGTTAATTTATGAAATAAGTTAATGGGAAAAGATCTTTATTTTTATAATCATAAGAATAGATTTGTAATATCAAAAATACTTTTTATCGTCCGTTGCGAATCTAAAGTTATAAAAGTCATGGCCACATGGTTTTCCTTCTTTCAGGAGTATTTATAAAATATACTTCACTGGTTCTTTGAAAGATTACGGCATAATAAAAAAGTATCAGTAAGTGTTGACAGAATGCATTCTGCTATTGTTCTATTAAAGCTTCAAACTCAATCGATAAAAAACACTGGCAATCTTATTTTCATGTTTGTCGCAAATACGCCGGAATTTTCTAGAAAATGACCATTTAAATTTTTATAAGGCAATTTCAGTGTGTATGGATGTTTATAAAATATCAAAATTTGATTAAATTACTAGCTTTTTTTCTGGCATTAGATTAAATCTAATTAATATATTCACTTTTAAATTTCGCTGTTTTACTTCGTAGCGAATATTAATCTCAATCTTTGTTTTTGTATTTTGTATTGTCTTGATATTGAATTTATGTATGCATAAGTAAATCTTTTCATGTTATTATCATAATTGAACGATCAGTATTTACGCATTTAACTTTTCAATAAGCTAACATTCTACGCGGTCTGTATAGTATAATGTCCATTTAAGTCACATCCGGTAAGGGAAGTAACTCTTCCCTGACTTTTATCGCTTAAAAGAAAGGGTCTATAGCATTTGATTCATTAAAAAAATTGTAATAGAAATAAAATGAAAATTACATTTTGATTTACCTTCTGCTTATTGATAAGCGTAACTTTTGATATAGATGAGTTTACATATTAATGGTTGAACATATAAATATTTTTTCAGATGAAATTGAATGGCAATGGACGGCACCAGAAGTTGCAGCAGGCGAAAATGCGTTAAGTACAAAGTCAGACGTATGGTCGTTTGGAGTTTTAATGTATGAAATGATCACTTTCGGGAAAATTCCATATTCAGGTAACTTAAAAGCATTTACAAAACATAAAATGAGAAGAACTGTCAAACAAAAACAGGCTCAATTATTTTAGTCTTCATAGTAAATTTAACACGATGTTGGATTTCTTTTTTATTTTGTTCGCATTGAAGTGAAAGTCTGTACTTAATCTAACGGTTTGTTTTCTACAAAAAAAACGATACACGCTTCAGGTTAATTCTTTCAGCGGTTTTGAAGGTATGTGTTCAACAATTGAATATCAACGTGTGCATGACTTGATCAGTCAAAGGCAATGACTTTCAATTACGACCCCGCGGAATACTTAATATTTTAAATTAATTAATTATTAAAGTTTAGAACGAAAACCCTCGATGAGATGTTGCCCTAAATCTCACATACTTTTTAGGGAATAATAAAAAAATATATTTATATTTACATTTTGTACAAAATATAGTTAAAAGACAAATACTTCCCTTGAATAATTTTGATAAATTCATTTAATTCTAACCAATTAACTAATGAGTGTGTATCTGAAAATCATAAACGCACAAGAGGGATGTCGATTTGAGAATGAGCACTTCAAATGTATGTTATTACTAGTGGGACAACTCGTTTTACAGATTGCTCACTGTAAAGAAAAATCATTCAGCTTGCATATATTCCATCATAGTTATTTCTTAAACACTATTCCTCTGTTTATCTTACTTATATCACAATACCATAGTAGTTACATAAAATAACGTTATTTTTGACAATCCTGCAGGTTTTGAGAAGGAACATGTTGAACGTAGTTTATCTAAAGGACTTAGACTACCGAAACCAAAAAGGTCATTGCAATGCCCTGTCGAATTGTATAACACTATACTTCAATGTTGGCATCAAATGCCAGAATGTAGACTAACATTTGAATTTCTTGGGGACTTTCTGTATGATTTTAAAGACGCTGTTGAATCTGAATCTCACCTAAAAGGTAAAGATTTACTGTTTTTCCAATTAAACAATGTATCATATCTGTCAATTTCAGTTATAAACTGCATAAATTAATGATATGAATATTGGATACATGTAAAATGTTGTTGTTCTTTCTTGCTAGATTACCTTGTACACTCATTTGCTCTTCCTTGATGTTTTGTAATTGTGTTCTCTTTGTCTCATTTGTTTGCAAGATTGGAAATATTCTTGCTAATCCATTGTTCTTAGAAGACATTATCTATAACGAAAAAAAAGTCAGTTACTTCGTTATATGTTTGGCTTTCACCTATTAAACTTTTCATTCCAAAGTGAACGATCTTTTCTGTCACTCCTGTTTTTTTTTTTATAAAAAGTAAAAGTTCAAATTAATTGAACACTTTCTATATCAGTCGATTATAATAATTTTGATTAGGCTTATATAAAGATTTTTCTTTTAACTGTATCAGATGACGGGTTGAAGTATATGTACATGAGTGGGACATTAGAGAATAAACAAGAAGAACTGACGGAAATATCAGAAGGTTCAGAGGAACATTTTCACGTTAATGTAAAGAAAGTTTTAAAGACCGGTAAGATGCAACAGTACACTTCGAAATAATATAAAGCGAGTGCTTCTTATTTTGAATGGTTTGGTTGCAGATATTATGCCACCTTTTCTACAATTGTCACATATTTTCACGCCCCGGTTGCGGTGTATATATCAAATGTTTGTAGTTTCTTGGTGGGTATTTTTACAATTCTAAGCCTATTTAAACACATAATTTTGGTCATTTCATGTCGGCTGATCTGTCTAATCGGTTTTCTAGAAAACTAACTGCTCCGCAATGAAAAGCATTCTTTATTTGTTCAAAGATTTTTTAGCTAACGAACTTTTGCGATGGTGCAAAAAATTAGCAATACAAGGATAATGATGTACTGTACTGTAGAGAATTGTACGCTGGCTTAAGAAATCAAGTAATACGAAAGAGAAAATTTATCCAAAAAATTTGCCTTTTCATACTTTTCGGGTCATATCTAAAGCTCTATAAAAACTTTTTGTTTATAAGATACATACAGTGTATATAAACATCTGCAATGTTAAGACCGCGATGACGAGATATCATTTTATATGTGTGTAAAATGACTACAAGAAAATCATTGATGCAAAGCATCAAAGGGCGTCCAAGCAAGAAATGCAGCTAGTGAAGATGAACAAGTAGACATCTGATGACCAGATATTCTTATAAAATTTTCAATGGTTAATTGGTTTTTACCAGAATTGTTTATTTATGAATGGGTGGGCGAAAGACATTGCTCATCATTAACTTTGGTAGGCATGCTAGAGATTAGAATATTAAATTTTTTCCCACATGAACTTGAAATTCTATCAATATTAACGATAATATCCAAAATATACAGGTCTAAAATATCCAAAATATACCTCCCTAAATGGTATAAGTTAATTTATACTATATAGGGGGTATTTTTGGATATTATCATTAATATTGGTTATTTGATAGAATTTCAAGATCATTTGGTATTTTCTTTGGAACATACAAAATAGTAGTCAAAATGAAAAAAAAGTATGTTTATTGATTTATTGGGAATTCAATCTACTATTTTAATGAATTACTTCAAAAAACCAACCAGTGTGTTTACATTCCTATCAATAAACCCATAACAACTCTTGATAAAATTGCAAACGAAAGTTTCTGTTGTTAAAATGTCACAATATTCGATAATCAACATTTCACTCCATACTATACACATCGGTCTCTCAAAGTAAGACAGGTGTACACAATGTGCATTTCATTTATTGCAAAATTCCCCAGTTCGTTATTTATTACCATAGCGCGACACGAATGACCGTTTCTTAAACTAAAACTACTTCTTTAAATAGATTTTCTGACTTTCACAATGTTAAGGTCATCATTCTATATATAGGTATAGCAATACATGATAACCCGCTGTGTACTACAAAATGATTTAAAAAAAAACGAAGAGCACGATTAATTGACGGATAAGATATTTCATTTGAATATGTTTGCATTGCGAAATTCTCTACTCCGCTATTTATTGTACATATCGCGACATTTATTTTTTTATAATCAAACACCCTCACACCAATCGGAATAATTGGCTATTATGCCCGACGAAAAGGCCCGAGATGTTGCAATTGCCCTTTCACAAAATCTGATTTCATTCCATAAAGGGCGTCGCGCTTCGGCGCGGACGCCAATCATACACACATAAAGTTAAAGACTTGTACGCAGTGATATCAACAAAATCTGTGTTATATTTTGATAAAACTGTGTTTAAACCTAATTGTAAGTATTCTGAATTCCTCCCTCTTGAAATTTGCAAGTAAAACTTTTATGTTGTTAATTTTTTACATCAGGTGTGCACGAGGATAAAAGTTCAAGCAATAAAAGTGTTGATATTACTCCAGGGTTTGACATAACAGCCTTGTACGATTATACAGCAGGTATGTATTTCAATGACTTTGTTACACTCATTCCAAATGAAATTTTTATAAAAGACATTTGATATTTCTATGAAAATATACCTCAAATGAAATGTTTTGTTTATCGACTACTCTGAACGTTGCCAGATAACCGGTTACATATAGATTATATATTAATGTCAGACGGGTTTGATTTTCAGAAAAGTTCCTCCCGTTGAGAGTCTAACGGCATTTTTAGTACAAGTAGGTAGTTAATCGTTTTTACATAACTCGGGTACGCCAAGTCCAATTTTTGTTCGACAACGGCTGTACTCGAAGTCCTTAACATTCTTTACGGACAATAAATCTATGTCAGGTATCTGAGATCCCAAATGTCTTACATAAATGCTTCACAATTAAATGTAATATAAGATGTTTAAGCTTTTAATTGTGATAAAATAGGATGTGTGTAAATCTTTATGAACATTAAATCATTTTATAATTTGAAGGAAGGTCAAAAGTCAAGGTCAGTATGCCAATATTTTTAAATTTACCTTTCATCTTCACAGGCCAGCGACTATGTCTCTGGACCCGCATATCATTGCAACACCATCTGCTGAACGACCAGGTTAAAAATAGAAAAGAAAACAGAATCTGCAATAAAAAACAAACAAAGAAAAAACGCCAAAATGGCACAATTAAATTTGTTGCAGGCTCGGTTTGATTGAGTGTGTTCATGGACGGTAATGGACGTAATGGAAAGTGCAAGTGACTGTCCACGCCCCCTAGCACCGGCTTAAGCAGAATTCAACTTTTAATCATGGTAATAGTGAAATTTGAATTAAGAAACATACACAGATGTGTTCATACGGCGGTTATCATGTAACCTTCAATGTGTCTCACATTCATGCAATTAATTCAAAATTCATCCAAGAAAGACAGTTATGGACCGGACTAAAACGGACAGACGGACATGTTCTTACCGAATGCTTTGTGAGGATGTCAGTGATCTTCATTACTTTATCAAACTCAAAAAACTGCCTTTTTGCCCCCAATAACCAATGATTCATCCTAAGGATCGGGCTTGTACGGAAATAATCTCAGGGCCAACTTGTTATCGCCAGATACCCCCTTTTTAACACATGACATGCTTGCACAGATAAACAGACTGACAGACATTTCAGCAGGTCTTGCACATTCCATTACTGTCCATGAACAGACTCAATTAAACCGAGCGTGCAACATTTTCAATTTTGTCGTTCTATGCGTTCTTTAAGGATTCTTGATTTCTCACTATTCCTTCAGATCGTAAAAACTTTTAAACAAAAACATTGCAGTAGTTTAAAATAACTTTTTTGTATGATTGGAAGTATGACAATCAACATCAAATGAAAAAAGCAAATATGTTCTCATTTATTTTGGTATGATTTGTGACCTTTTGCACCATAAACTTTGTAGTTTTAATGGGTTTTTTAAATTATAAGTCAGCGCTTGTAAATCTCAATCACTGCACTTAAATAGAAGAAAACAAGCCTTGTAAAATGCGCTTGTTAACGTTAAATATTCAATATATAGGAACAAAGGAAAACTTTTGAAATTTAAGATGGCTGCCACATTAAAGAAAATTATCTATTTTTCTCGGCCACACTTTAGCCGGCTTAAATAAGGAAAGCCTTAAATTAATATTTCAAAAATGTGTTTTATCTTGTCCATGGTAGAATTAAAGTAAAAAAAAATTTTTAAAAATCAATGGCGGCCATTTTGAATTTGATTTTTAAAGGTCGAGGACTAAAAATACAGCCGTGGTAGAGCAAAACAATGAATTCAGCAAATAGGCAAATAAACACAACTACCTGTACTTAAAACTGAACGATCATTTTTTCCAAAATCAAACTAGTCTATCAGGACAAAAGGTAGATCAGTGTTGAGTATTTTGAAAGCGACGTGATTAAAGCTATCGCAATTTTAATAAAAGAGAAGGACAAGATGCAGTGAACACATAAAACAACTTGTTTTTTTTTTCAATTTGAGATTGTAATTAATTTGTTTTATTGTAAAAATTGAATATTGAAATGTATTGGAATATATGCAGGAGATGCTGGGGAAATATCTTTTGACACAGACGATATTTTAACAAATATAGAACCAATAGATGATGGTTGGTGGATTGGGACAACAGCAAATGGAGAACGTGGGATGTTTCCTGCTAATTATGTGGAAGCTTACTCTGAAATTACAAAATTATAGTTAGATTAAAATTGTCAAAATCCCAAATACTCTTGCAATTGAACGACATATACACATAAACACCAATACTCAAATTGCTCTAAGATGTCGTATGTATAATGTTAAATTGTTTAAAATCATAAAAAAAACCTGGAAGTATTATCTAATTCTAGTTAATAATCAAATAAAAAGTTATTGACAATTGTTTCGCAGGAATATTTACGAAAACTGTAACAAAAACAAACCATTAATGAATATAATGTAAGAAATGTTACTTTTGTGTAAGGGAAGAAAAATGATAGCTGTTGTTTGTTTTTATTGCTTACTTTTATGTATAAATGAGTCATTTCATATAAGTTAAACTACGATAATGAAAAGACTGACTTTACCAGAACTGGCTATTTGTATTCTGTTTGATGTCTTGAGACGAAAATATATAGATATGATAATTAATATCTTTGCTGTTCAAAAAACATGATATTCTAGACGGAGTGGAAATAGAGTATTCTAGACTTACTTTGACAGGTAAAAGCAAGTTTGTAATATGTATGTTGATTATTCTATTTTTTAATAAAACTTGAAAATATCGAACATGTAATATCTGATTATTTTTGAAACTTACCTTTATGAAATTACCTTAACAATTTACAACATAGATATATACTGCCAAAAAGGTCAATGAGTTTCTAAAGAACGACGGTGCATTTTCAATTCGACACGGGAAAGCCATTAGAGCCACTCGGTGTAGGATTTAAGCAAGTTATAAATTTTAGTGTTATAACATATGAAGTGAGCAGTGAAATAGCTGAAAAAACCCACTTATTTCGGTAATGAAGTCTACAAGTAAAATATTATGCTGTTTTACGCCTTCACAGTGAAACTGTTATTATTTATATACAAAGCTTTCAAATGTCGCTGCATGCATATTATTGAACTGATGTGAGAAATGTTTATGCATATTGCTTAGCTTCTTTTGTGCTATTTGATGAAAAATAAAGGAATAGCTATTTCATTCATTTTCAACATAAACAGTTCATTTCAAAAAAATAGTTTGTAATACAGTAGTATTGAAACAGTATATTTACTTACTTACTGAATAATTCGATGACGTTGTATAGATATAGACAGAGCATGCCATCTGTATGCATGTATAAAACTGGCATGTTGTTTCATTCACCGTCGAGTTATTTTTTTTTTTTTTTTTTGCTGTTGAGTTTTACGTCGCACCAACACATTAAGCTCATGTGGCGAAATTTCAGCTTTTACTGGTAGTATAAGAGCTAAGGTATGTACATTATTTCAGGCACTCACATACACCTGAGTAGAACCACCGACGTTCCATCAGCAGTAAAGCTTTCTCACATGTAGAATCCGACGACGCTTGCTCAGCTCGAACCTACAACTCTGTGACATCTCGGACCCCTTGGCATCTCGAAATGTGTTTGTGTGACGTAAAACTCAACAAAAAAATAATATATTGAATCGAAATGTCTCACACACTAGGGATCTAAAAGTCATTTAAAAACAAGGTCTAACAGTATAGAGGTCTAGAAGTCATTTTATGTCCTAAGAGGTCAAGAAGTGGGTCTAAGATTTACTTGCGAACCTATGTACAGCGTTGAGAGGCTATTGGTTTGTTATCAAATATCATAGCCACTCGACCACGGACGCCAAACAATTTGCTGTGACTTTGACCAGTGTTTAACTCATTTATATTGCTGTTTGTTTGTTTTTTCCTACATCTGCTACCCATTAAACGTAAACACGAGCACCTGCATCAATAACACACTTTCACCTGGCTTGACAAACAGGAGGTGACCCGCTTAGAAACACAGGTTAACTATGGAAGACCAACAAAAACTCCATTATCTGTGGTCTGATTCCCAACTTCATATAGTTCTCTTTTTTCAGAATTTACTATAGATTATAAATCTAGATTAAACTACCTCTGGCACTGATTTTCGTATACATAGATCTAGAAATTGCCCAATAATACTCTTCTCTGTAAAGTTAGTTATAAATATTCTTCTTTTTTTTCTATATTATAAAATGTAATCTTATGTTTTTGCTGTCCTCTGAGATAAATTGCATGCCGTTTATCATTGTGACTTTGTATGATTTATTATATAATGTTTTTGCTCTTGTATTTATATATACGCAAACTGAGCTGACATCAATTAAGGAAACGAAATGAATATGATGACAGAACCATTTTAAGCAAAAACAATTGGGGTTACCAGGTCCGTTTTCGAGTTATCTGCCATTGAATGAGATTTTTCACTATTTCAACTGATTTCAAGTTTGGATAACTTTTCTCGTTCATATATCTCATAAACATTTTATTTACTATTTGTTTATGTTTTTTATTCTAGCCTTTGATATTATGAAATTCAAGTAATTCCATTGAATATTTGTGTCACCTTTTCAATTTAAGATGTGTTAAAGTGAAAAGACTGAAAATTCTTTATAACGGGCCATTTTGAAACAACGAAATTTGACATAGGTTTAAGTAAAGAAGAAAATAAACTCACCATTCTTTAACAATTATGCACAATCACTCAAAAGGTAGTTAGCTAATAAAATGCAGAAAATAAGTCGCACTAGAAATTGACAAAAGTATAGATTAAATAAATGAGCGTGTATAGATATTTAAGCCTTATTTGCTAGAAATATCGGACGTTTATTGGTGTATGGTGAATGTCTTAGTTCGTTTGGATTTTGTCACAATTTGTTTGGAATATTGAATATAATGTGAAAGTTACGTACTGTTCTTGCAATATAACATTACATAGGTTTGAATATTTTAATGAGAAAAACCTTTTTATTTTATCTAAAACAATTTCATTAAATAGATTTCTTATATCCGAATACAGTCTGGTTTTTTCTGCATAATATGTTTACTGTCAAATAAAGTTAAGTGGCTGAACAAAATTATTTCGACCCGTTGGAAGTGACATTTTAGCTTTTGATATACGAACAACTTGTATGTTGGTTAATCAACCAAATTTATTTCTTCATTATTCTTATTTGATTTTGTTGATTTTGTTAAAATTGTTGTGCAAATGGGTCACAATAGAGCGTAATTTTTGATACAAATTATTTTTTAACATACACTTTGCAAGAAAAGTGTTGTGTTAAGAAATACAAGAGTAACAATAACAGGTCGTGTCTCTATGGATACAAGATACATTAAAAAACACTTCCAAATAAAATAGACATAAGTTATGGTACACTTAAAAACAAACGTAGATATTTTATTTCACGAAACAAAAACAAGCGACTAGATGTGCCAATCATTATGTGTTTGCAAGATGTTCTTTTACGTAGACATGGTCAAAATGACTCCAACCTTAACAGGTCATATTTAGTACATTTACATTAAAAAATATTGCGAATTATGATATATATTCATCATGTTTTATGCGTTACATTTTGACAGGCACATAGATTCATATATGATATCTGATGCAGCTTTATGATGTTTTATCTTGCTTGTAAAATGTTTAGCAATTGATTGGACCACATTACGTAATTTAAATTTGAAATAAAGACAATTATAATCTGTGATTTTCCTTGCTATATTTTAGATTTTGACTTTCATTTATTGCAATCTCATTTGCAAAATACCCTATGTGGTTTAAAGCTAAACGAAAACTCATCTTCTTTCTTGAAAATATTTCATATACATGTATGAACTCTTTTCTTCAATCTTTCTCGTACCACCTGTCTTAAACTTCTCATTAAAAATAAAAGTGTAATGAAAATTTGTTTGGAAATATGCAATTACACATTGATGTTAAATATAGCCACATGTTTGATTTTATTTTATGAGTACTAAAAGTAACTGAAAACTCAATTATATTTAAATTCATATCTTTTATCCCAAAATACGTAAGGCTCTTTCATCTTATTCATATTATAGAAGTATTTGGTATCCAACTTTAAGCTTTGTACCGGTTTCAGCTGTGTAAGAACGAACACATATATAACAAGAATGATACTTTGGATGGACGACAACAAAGTGTCGGAATGTTAGTGCAGGGTGATTTGTAAATGGTCTTCGAGTTACCTTCGATTTCATGTGATTATTTCACCTACGGTATCATTGACGTTGTCTAATAATGAACTATTTTATTTCAAACATAAACCATAACTTAAGTAAAGATGAGAAAATATTTATTTATTTCTTTTATTTTTTTAAGTGAATAATGACATTTCCTTATTTTAACAATTTAGTTAAACACATTAATTAATTTAACATAATTTGTTTCATAGATAAGAAAATGGTGGGATTTACACTATGAATATAATGATTAACTGAACCTGAATTTATACAAAGGTTTATATAAAAAAAAGCATATGTCAAGTGTTGTTTTGGAGCCTTAAAAATTTCCTAGTACTACGCTTGTTATATATTTCTGGTGGTCATTACGGATCATTGCATCAAATATTTTGTTGACTCTGTTGACACTTGAATAACGATTAAGCTGACATTCTGGGTGTGATAGATGTTAAATATAACATAACTTCTCCAAAACCGAGTGTGTATTTGCAAGTTATTTGCAGCGTTTTCATTGCTCTCGGGCAACATATATAAATTTGTTTGGCTTGATATAATTTCAGTTTATTGTACATATATATGCCTGCCTTGTAAGTTGTAAGTTAATAAAATGGTTGTGTGTCGTTGCTACAAATAAAATCGTGTAAAAGGTCAAAACTGTTCAGACATTGGTTGAATAATTTGCAACTTATTTTGAAGTGATTGAAATATAGTAGAAAGTATTGCTCGCAACCCTTTTCCTTTTTCTATGACCCTATGTGGAATGTTTCCATGGACCACATACAGGTTTACTCACGAAAAAAACACGTCATCATATTCGATTTATTTTATTGAGGATCGTAATGATACTTTTTCAATTGAATGAAAATGATATTTCCAAAACAAAAACGATCTATGACTTAAAAAATGCTGAAAAAAGTTGCCCCGTACTTCACTTCAGTGTGGTTATATTTTTCTGGTCCTTCGGGATCATTGATGCCAGCACTTTTAAGTGTTATTCAATCCGGTGCTAGCGGCGTGAAGGATGTTGCACTTATTCATTATCCCTCATGTACAGACTCAATCAAACCGAGTCTGCAATTTTCATGTAATTTTGTTGTGATTAATGCTTCAGAGGGATCACTTTGATTCCAAACTTTTTAAGGAAAATTTCCAGCTGCTTCGATCGAGCGACATTGTTTCAATGGTTATACCGGTAATTTGTAAATTTCAATTCAATCAAAATAAAACCACATTAACAATGAACATATAGATACACGATTGTTATATCAGTATTTGGTTGGCTCCGTCTGTATCTTTATAGGGCACTTGAACTTGTGCAGGTGTATTTGAATGTTGAAAATTGTTTAAAGAAGGCAAATTATTTCTACCTTTAATATGTCATCTTTTTAAAAAGATAAATATTTTTATTAAAAAGAATAAACAAATCATACCATTTACGGTTTAACGTTAAACG